CATGTTGGTAAGGTTGACTTGCGGCTGTCTGAGAAGACAACTCTGTAGGTCCTTGACTGTAAGGAGCGTAAATTTGGTGTGGGTCTGGGCTGTGAGGAGGTTGATACCCTGTATAACTTGGAGCAGGTCCTGAATATGACTGTGGTGGTGGACCAGGAGGCGGAGGAGGGAAGTTCTGCTGCGAGTAGGGATTTTCTTGTTGGCTATAATCACCAGTGGCACTGGTAAACTGACCATATGCGGCCGGTGGTGGACCTTGCGATGCTTGTGGCGGTGGAGTAGGGTACTGAATATAATCACTAGGAGGAGGAGATGCATGAGCCTGTAGGAGACCAGGCGCATTTGCTGGCTGACCATAACTTCCGGTTGTGCTTGTTGAATAACTTGGCACAGGTGGCATGAATGGGCTTGCTCCTGTGCTTGTGCTTGGTTCAGTATGGTATGTACCTCCGGTCGGTGTATGTGGTCTGCTGGTGCTTTGCCACGCTGGGGGATTGTACTGTTGGCTTCCAGGTGGCGGTGGGAAGGGAGCCCCAGGTGCTGGTGGCTGAAGGTAAGTCTGAGGTTGCTGCTGTTGAGACTGCGACTGTGGTCGTTGTCCCGGGCCAGACACAGTATGAGGATACTCATCGGCAATTCTATAGTAGCGTTGATCCTGGCGAACATTGTATTTTTCATCAAAGATGAAGTTCCATCGATCAACGAAATGGTGACAAAGGTCGTCTACACTTGAACCTTGAAGACAAATGGCAATATCGGACCTGAGAAGGATTAGTCGCTAGTGGGCGCTCTGGACGTTTCCAACTCACCAGCCCATTCTAGAACTCTTCGTCCTGTCGAGTTTGTTCTGGAAGGGGTTCGCAACATCGCTGAAGTCCATAACCCTTGATGATTGGTCAGCATATATCAAGCGCTGATTGCTATTACTCTGAGTGGTCAAGCCAGTCTGACTTACCTGGCATTGTTGTAATCTTGACCGGGAAACACGGTGTCATTGACGTTCAAAGGATGTACATCAGCAATGGCATGCTGATTGGTGTCCCACCTCCCGAAGCAGAGGTCGAGACCACCCATGAAGGCGACATCACGATCGATAATGCATAGCTTCTCGTGGTGAGCCCAGTAAAGGATGACATCATCAGTGATGCCGTAAATGCCTTTCAGAGCATCTGCACCAAGTTTGGAGGCAGCAGCAGCATCAAGCTTGAGGCCCTGAAATGAGGATATCAACGAGGACTGAGTAGTTTGGGCGTCTGGCAGATGATCCGGGTGACGGAAGACAGAGATGTTTGGTGACAATTTCTCAAGTTCGTGCTTGGTATGTGCGGAGGATAAAGCTGTGTTTGATGTCAACGGGCACTGCTAGAGAGATAGGTGCTTGCTGCGGTCAAGATGCAAATGAAAGACAAGCCGTGTAATGGCATTGTCGGGTACGCAAAGGCTTGGTACTTACTCAAGGCTTGTGTGACTTCCTTGTACACGATGATGTTGACTTTGACACCACGTTGGGCAGCTCGTTGCAAAGTCCGATCGAGCCTCCATTGCTCGTTCTGAGACGGTGGCCGACGTAGGTACACTTCGGGTGACAGCCACCAGTCCAGGATCCATATGGAATGTTTTGCTGCTTCAAGTGCTTGACTGACTGCCCAAAAGTATCCGCATCCATCGACGTACCACTTGACATCGTTACCAGGCTTCTCGGAAGCGAAGCTGTCGAAGCGATTCTTGACGGTAGCTTGACTAGGGGAGTGAGGAATGTTGGAATAGCTTGGGCCAGTCTGTCCTGAAGGTTGGTTGGAATATTGAGAGGATGGTCTGTGGCCGGGATCAATCAGGTTCTGGACATCGAAGCCAATATTCTGGACCGTATTCTGTAAGGCACCGAACAGTTTCGAGGCCATATCTGGTTTCGCCTGGGCTTGTTGAGTCGGGGGACCACCGGGATATGAAGGCTGGCCAGTGCTTAGACTTGATGGGTTATGGTATGAATGCTGAGATCCCTGCTGGGTTTGGCCTTGTTGACCATAGTATGATGGTTGAGACGATCCAGAATTGGTGTTTTGACCTTGCTGACCGTAATAAGCTTGATTGGAGCCTGAGCCTGAATAGCCGTAGTTTGGGCCCGAAGACGAAGGGGTCTTGAACTTGTCATACTCGGATTTGAACTTCTTGAACGTATCTCCGAGGACTGATCGGTCAATACCGCCTTGACCACTTCCTCGAGACTGAGAATAGTCCTCTCCGTAAACAAGGCCGTCGTCTCCCGGCGGAGGTTGGTACGACATCTTGCTGAGTTGGTAGGACTGGGTTAGTGTTTGTCATGGAAGATGTTAACAGAATGATGGAAGTCAGAGATTGGAATCGGCTAAGTGCATGTTGGACCACGCCAAATCCAAGTCATACAGTATTCGTCTCACCTGTAGGTGATGTTTCAGCTGAATAACAGTGAAGTTGTTGCCAGTGTTCCTGCCAAGCCTCATGTAAGTCGACTGCGACTCCGACTCCGTTGGCGGGCGTTCATGTTCCCAATCACCCCAATCAAGGGCAAGCCAGGCACCTCTTCAGCTGCTGCGCCCACTGCGCCTCACCTGAACCCTGCAAAGGATCATGGAGCTCCTCCGGGAGTAAAGCTGGAGTAGCTCCAGAAACAATCGCAGCAAGTGAGCCATCTACCACCATCCCACGCCAGTCCTACGGTGTTTGTCGTTGAGATTTCGATGGCCCGAACAAATGCCATCGAGCTCATTTGACTTTGAGCCATTACCGAGTTTCACGAACTGTGGTAGGTGTCATGATGGTGCCCAGGTGAGTATCAGCTTGGCCCGGCTGATCTATCTCGTCTATCTTATCTTTCGCATCTCGTTAGACATGACGATGACGGATGACAGCAACAACTCCCCATTGCCGAAGCTCTTGATGCGATCATATGCGGGGCCATCGAGTTCCTTTCACCCCTCCACCAAGAAGATGAAATACAACTATTGACAACCTGGAAGTGCACATCTCCTCGGGCCTGACGCTTGGTTGGCTATATATATTGCCGTGCTTCTCTACCAGACATGTCTGCCCGTGTTCGTTCGTTGCAACGTCTTACTACTACAACAGCTATTACCTCCAGGTCCCAGGCTGCGTTTCGACAATCCAAGTTCGTCCCATTGCAATTGAACAGACAAGCCTCCAACATGTCTCTAGCAACTCTTGACGTATGTAACATGAACGACCAATACGAATGAGAGCTAACATTCTCAGACACGGCAACATCCCAACCTGCGCTCGTCCTCCGAGACCTTGTTCGAGGCCAAGGCAAAGAAGAAGGTGACTTTTGAAGAACTCGCGAAAGAGCTGGGTAGAGATGAGGTTGCAGTCGCGGCTTTATTCTACGGACAAGCCAAAGCCTCTCCAGAAGATGTCAAGAAGCTGTCAGAGTACTTTGGTCTCGACCATGCCACCCTGGATGCGCAGATGACGGGTTTCCCAGACCGCGGAAAGAGTATTGAGATGCCCCCAAGGGAACCGTTGATCTACCGTCTCTATGAAATTGTGCAGAACTATGGTTATGCGTACAAGGCCGTTTTGAATGAGAAATTCGGGGATGGCATCATGAGTGCGATTTCCTTCTCGACTCATGTTGAAAAGGAGGTGGACAAGGATGGCAACACATGGGTAAGTGCTCATTGTACGCAGTTGGTCCCTAAGCTAACCAGGTGCAGGTCAATATCAAACTGCGAGGAAAGTGGTTGCCGTTTACCCGATTTTAGACAGCCAGATATCAAAGAAGAATCATGATCACTGATCCGCGTCGACGACCTTGATCACAAAGATTTGTTTGAGCTCGAGCTCTGATGCTATGGCATTGTTAAGCAGCACAGCTGGCACTTTCAACCGGCATACTATGACCCTCAGCCCTCTTTGCGTGCTCTTTCTGGTTGTGATGTCCTGCATCCAAATTGGGTAACCTTTGTGTGGGAGGAACAATATCAAGCAGGAACAATATTAAGCCTTGCCCCCTTCATTCAGCCTTGTCAGAACGACGATCTTTCTTTGTCCGAAACAACACTCTTCTTCATGCTAACATCGCCGTAGGCCGGTCTTTGTCGTCGTGAGGAACATAAATATGGCTTGACCTGTTCTCGGGTTTTGATCATGTACAGAACACATTCATTCCAATACCAGCTCATATACACTCTTTTCAACCCAACCTAAAGACTCTACGTCAACACTCACACAATCACAATGGCTCGCACCACTCAACAAATCCGCGCCAACGCCAAGGACATCAAGTTCGGCCACGGGTATTTCTGCATCGTCCAGAAGGGCACTCGCGCGAAGGACAACATGGCTTACACCTGCGTCATCCAGCGCCGATAGAGCATCTCGCCTACGAGACACACCGCTGGCATCTTCGCGACTTGAACTGCAGTAAGGCCCTGCGCCTGATAGGAGGAGTCCACCTGGTGTGAGACTTCCACTTTGGCGAAGCTGTTTGATATTCGGAGCTATTATTTTTCTTGTTTAGAGTAATACCGCAACATAGCCCTCTCTTCACTTCATCACGAGCTCCTTCCAACTCTCTGGTAGCAACAATCGGCGGGTTTGACGGAGAATATTCACCCTTTAGCACAATGTGGACATAAAATGGCAGACTATCTTGAAAGATGCATCCAACTTGCTGGATTTCGAGCTGGACATAATTCTGCCGCGTCTTCCCTGGCTGGTCGGCGTCAGTGGATTCATATACTACTAGTATCGAGATTTGAGTGGACGCATTCGGGTCTTTGATGGTCAATATCATTCATTTCTACCCCTTTCACTCGCAAGCCCAGCTTCGTTAGTAGATCGTAGTGTTCCTGACATTTCTCAATATGTTACTCCTAACCCCCACTGTCGCCCCAGCCCCTCGCCCGCTGGCCCCTTCAAGCAAGACTCCGCCACGATTCTGGACTAATTCTCCCACTCATCCCACGCAATTTAGAGGTGAACAAAAAAGATAAAGATGCAAAAACAACGACAGCTACAGGATTTGAACCTGTGCGGACGAATCCAACAGATAACGATAAGGCCTTGAAGCAGGGCAATTCGAGTCTGTCGCCTTAACCACTCGGCCAACTTTGTAAATGTCAGAGGTAGATTCTTGAGCAACTAGATGTTGCTAACTTACACTGTCTTTTGTGTGAGATTTATCGCAAATTTTGATGCATTTTAAAACATGAAGATGAAATTCTATCTTGGGCCTTTGGGAGACACCGTGTTCCCGAATTGTGGGCATCGGGCCTCTAGACTGTGGGCGATAGTAAGGAGGCTAGGGGCACCTTCGGGCTGGAACATGGAAACTTGCCCCCCGGCCCCAGCCTACTGCAGCAAAAGCAGCAAGCACAACTCTCTCGGTGGTCCTGCTGCCGCTTTTGCTTGACGGAAGCCAACCTCGGCATCTTTGTCGCATTCATCCATCGTGCATTCGTGTCACCCAGTGTGTGGAAACCAATGTCATGTCGACACAGTCCATCTCTCCCAGAACGTATGACGGAAAGAGAACCGTAAGCTGTGCAGAGTACAGCATAAGTCGAATTACCTCTAATCTTGCGATGCATCGATAACGAGATTCTGCGACCATGGAGTACCTCAGCGCGCTCCAGTCACCCGTTGACGACCTCAAGCCGTCAATCTTCGAACTTCTGTCGGAACAACAGCTCGCAGCGCTTCTTCCTCCTACACTACGCTATCTACTCGCAGTCGCGACTCACAGACATCCCCGCTACCTCCTTCGCATACTCAACAACTACGATGAAGTCTATGGGCTGCTCAGCCTGATCGTGGAAAGGTACTACCTCAAGACATTCGGTGGCAGTTTCACCGAGAACTTCTACGGTCTGAAAAGAGAGAAAGTCCTCAGTATCAATGGCGGCGAGATCAAGCGGACACAATTGGCCGTCCCAGACGAGGTCCGCCAAAGGTTGAAATTGAGCGGCGCAGATATATGGAGGAACTTGGCCGTCCTGGTTGGCATACCTTATTTGAAGAGGAAACTGGACGAAAGCTATGATATACATATTGCGCCAACAGCAAGTCTGCTCATGGCTGGAGGCCCGCGATACTTGAACAGAGACGAGCTAGCACCAAATGCGACAATCAAGCAGCGGCTGATGTACTGCTACAAATGGTTCCTGCGGAACGTCTATCCAAGTATCAATGCTGCATACTATTTTAGTGTGCTGGCTTTCAGCTTGGGCTATCTGTTCGACGCAACTAAATTCTCGAGCCCGTTTCTTTGGTTGATTGGGACCAGAATGAGGAGAATGGGAGCCGCTGACTACCGCGCAATCGATGCTGCTACCGACGCCGCCACCAAAGCCTCGAATGCTGCGGGAAGACCAGGTCAAGGCCTCAGCGGCATGTTGAACCCTAGGACGTTGTATCCTCGACTCCTCTCGAGTCTCAGGATTCTTCTGCCGACCAGCATTTTCGCCTTGAAATTCTTAGAATGGTGGCACGCCAGCGATTTTTCGCGCCAGCTGAGCAGGAAAGCTGCAGAAGGATTGGAACTACCACCACCCGTCGTATCGGGCATGGGTCTGGCTCAGAGAATCAAGCCAGAGCAAACCTCGGCCACAGCAAACACTGCTGCGAAACGAAATCCACCCGTCTCAAGCATTACATATCTCCCAATATTCACAGTGCCGCCACCTCCGTCAAGCGATCTCTGTCCAATTTGCCTTCACCCTATTTCCACTGCAGCGGCATGTCAGACTGGCTATGTTTTCGATTATAAGTGTATTTTCCAATGGGTCGAGGGGACGCATGAAAGGCAAGAAGCATTCATGAAAGGAGAGAGGATGAGCGAGTGGGAGGACGATGAAGAGGATGAACCGGGAAACGAGAAAGATGACCCAGGCAGGGCAAAGCCAACCCAAAGCCGAGAAGGCAGCTGGGAAAGCGGGAAAGGTCGATGTCCAGTCACAGGCCGACGGGTCCTGGGCGGTACCAGTGGACTTCGTAGGATAATGGTGTGATTACCGCGGCAGCAGGAACTGCTCGAATGGCAAATCTAGCCTGGTAAAGTCCTTGATAATAGCCATCGCAGCTGGCTGGGAAGACTCGGCAGCAAGCGAGATAGCGGCCTTTAAAGTCACCCGGCTGCTATGGATGGAGACGGTTTGTGTCATCCTCCGGAGCCTGGCATCCTCTCGGTCAGTGATCTGAAACAGTCTGATAACACCAGTTACCACGGTCTCTGCATGACGAGCATGGTTGACCCTCAGTTGTGTCCCGGAAAATTTCTACCACTGCACGCGATTTCATCAATAGGCGAATTGTACCGGCCAAGCGGCGGGGCGGACTCAGGGGCTTGAAACACTTGCATCTCTTGGCAGGACAGACGTCAATTTGGGTCCCACCGCTGCTTCCACTTCTATCGACCATTATTACTTTGCTGATCAAGTTGCATCAAGACACCACGAGCAAGACTTAGACAGCATCCCTCTCCTCTACAGTACAAGGTCTTGCAAACTTTGACGGCGACTGCCAGGGCCATTTCCGAGGGGTCATTGGTAGGGAGAGCTTCACAGAATATCAATCGCGCAACGATCCCTGCCCGCCACGTTATCATGAAACACATGTGCCCACGCACTTCCTTCAGGCAATGTTCTTGGCGCTTGGGCGGATCTGCCATCATTCAGAGATCCAGTGTTTGCGATCTGGACCTAGTGCTGCCCTTTTCGCCCTTCTGCCAGCTATACCCGGCGAAGAACCCATGGACGGTCTTATTCATTCTCCATACTCTCCTATCTGTCGACTGCACTCGATCATGCTTGTCCATGGGATCCTCCAACGTGAAACCCCAATGGGCTCCTCCAAATTGCTTTCTTGTCAAGAAGCTGAGCGGTTCTTGAGATATACATATAATATGTATGGCTTTCCTCTACGAAGCCTGTCTTTTCTTCAGAGTACAGTTTTCCGTCAAAAGCACATCAAGCAGGTCTTTCATTCATTTACAGGTCACTAGGCCTTTCCATTCTCTAACCCACATTCATTTCAAAGGTCTTCATTGATTGAAGCCATCCCGTCACTTCTGTGAAGGACTATCTCAACTTGCAGCAACGTATTCTACTTGATCATCACCGCACGCATTACAAATATGTCTCTCGCCATCAAGTCTACTGCCTTAATTGGCGCCCTTGCCCTCATTTCCAAGGTCTCTGCGCACGGTATTGTCCAAGGCATCGTTGCCGGAGGCAAATGGTATTCAGGCTACAGTCCCAGCTTCCAATACCAGAACCCACCGCCAGTCGTGGCTGGCTGGTCGACCCCCGAAAACGAGGACACAGGCTTCGTCAGCGACTACACCTCTCCCGACATCATCTGCCACAAAGGAGCGACCCCTGGCGGCGCCTACGTGACCGTCGCTGCTGGAGACACTGTTGAGCTGCAATGGACTGTCTGGCCCGAGTCCCATCACGGCCCTATGATCGACTACCTTGCCTCTTGCGGCGACGACTGCACCACAGTCGACAAGACCCAGCTCCAGTTCAACAAGATCGATGAAGCCGGTCTCGTTGACGGCAGCAGCCCACCGGGCACCTGGGCATCCGACCAGCTGATCGCCAACAATAACTCATGGGTTGTCACCATCCCGTCTGACATCACGCCGGGAAAATACGTCCTCCGTCACGAGACCATTGCCTTGCACGCAGCCCACGAAGTCGGTGGTGCCCAGAACTATCCTCAGTGCATCAATCTCGAAATCACCGGGTCGGGCACGACTTCTCTTAGTGGCGGGACTGTGGGAACGTCGCTGTACGATGCCCAAGATCCAGGCATTTTCATCAACATCTATATGGCGCTCTCTTCCTATATCATCCCGGGTCCTGCTCTGTGGGATGGCGCTTCTTCCGGTGCTACGCAACCCTCCGGCAGCGCTTCTGCATCTGCATCCGCATCTGCCACTTCAACCGCCGCAGGCAGCTCCTCGTTCACTGCGGCTACAACAGCAGCACCCTTCTCCAACAATATCAGCAGCGGCACCGGCACCGGCACCAGCACGTCCGCCGGAGTGACCATCACCCGTAGACCATCCAGGAACAACCACGTCGCCGTGATCACTTCTTCTACGGCCGAGGCCGAGGCCGCCGCTACGACCGCTACCGCCATCACCACATCTTTGTCTGTCGTCGCCGTTGCGCCCACTGAGACCGAGGCCGAGACTGGATGCTCCTCCGGACCAGTCGAAACCCCCACGGCTACCGCATCCTTCTCATCCACGGGTTACCGTGATCAACCATGTCGCGGCCGCTATCAACGGCAATGTCACCACCACTGAGCCCGGCGCCCACACTTTCCACGGGAATCAGCCCCGTTCCCTTCACGAGCACTATCACAGGCCGTGTTGGACAGAGTACAAAGTTTGTCTGCTATCTTGTGGACTGAACTAGCTGAACTAGTCAAAATCAATCTATGATCGAATTTTGAGGTCTGCAATTGAGTGGAAGACTCAGACAAATTTGAGAGATCTGATGTGGCATTGGTTGCGGCTCCAGTATGCAGCATATGACGAGGGAGAAACACGGCTCAGAAATGCTTCCACGCTTTCATTTTTGTGCTGATCCATCGAATTCTTTTCTACCAAAAGGTTTGACAACGCCAGGCTAGGGACCTGCGTTGGGGATTTTCTTCGATTCATCATGTACATATATACATATACAGCAATCTTTTTGCACCAGCGGACCTTCAATTCAAGTCTGGCTGCTCACCGATTTTCAATCTTCCGAAACATCGCTTCCACAGCTCATTCTCTTCACCCACGAAATACATCAAATCGACGCTTTCCATCCCCGTCTCTTCGTCGCCTTGCATGCATTCAAGTTGCGAAATGATGTTGCCGAGTCCAAACGCCTTGCCTACACTTTGAGTGGTACCGGCTTCAAGCATGACATGCACCACGTGGATGTGGAAGTGGTAATACGTCGGCTGATAATGAATGTAGCACTTGACTTCGTCGGCTTCGAGTCCCTCACCGGGAGGGAAGACTTTGGTCGCAGCAGTCACGACTTGGTCCCGCACACCCTTGAGCCAAGGAATGTGTTTCTTTTTGAGATCGCGGAGTGACCAGATATCCCGAC